TTTTTGGTCTTTTTGAGACAGGGTCTCCCTGTAGCCCTAGCTGGCCTGGATTTGCTATGGAGACCAGGCTGGCCTCGAACTCACAGAGATCCGCCTGCCTCTGCGTCTGGCGTGCCACCACGCCCAGCCTCTTTTTGTTTTTTTTAGGCATGGTCTCCCTGTAGTCCAGGCTGACCTCCATCTTACAGAGCTAGAATTAAAGTGCTGGAGTTAAAGGTGTATGCCACCACACCTGTCAAAATTTACATTTTTTCCTCTTCCCTGAACCACCATGGGACTCCCTCCTCATTTGCTGAGGCACCCCCTGGGGAAATCCATCTGTGTTGGGGCTCAGAGAGACATGGAACCCACCCAAGGTCACACAGCAATGAATCACAGAAGCCTACACCCCAGAACCCTGCATTCCAGAGCCGTGTCATGTTCTCTGAGACCATAGACTATATTTATCCAACAAGATCAAGATCGGTCAGTCTGGCAGCCTGGCCACTTCCTGGGCTTTTGCTCCCAAGAGCTTGCCCTATGGGCCACCCGCACCCCAACTTCCTAGCACAGAGACCCTCCCATCTAAGCCAACATTGTAGGGGCTGAAGTCCAGCAGCCAGACTGGCCCTCAGGAGGAGCAGAGGGAGAAGTGTCCCAATCCTCTGACACAGCAGTGGGTACCCTGCCTTCCTTTGCTGCCCCATGTGCCCACAGGTCAAAGGGAGAAACTGAGACCAAAGATTGTGCTAAGTGTGAAGTCAGACCCAAGCCCTAACTTTTTTTAGGGGGTCTCTGTGTCCTCTGGCTGCCAGTATTAAAGTGTCCCCTCACCAGACAGAAATACTTTAAAACCAGGGAGGGAACAGGCCAGCAAGATGGCTCAGCTGGTAAGGAACTTTGCTGCCAAGCCCTGATGACCTGAGTTCAATCCCCAGAACAGCAAGGTGGAAGGAGAGAACGGATTCCTATAAGTTGTCCTCTGACTTCCCTACATGCAGGCACACCACACACACAAACACCTACAAGCACACGTACCAAACCATAAATAATGTCATAATCTTAAAATTCAATAAAAATAGGTCAGGCATGGTAGCACATGCCTTTAATCCCACCACTCAGGAGGCAGAGGCAGGCCAGTTTCTTAAGTGTTTCAGGTCAGCCAGAGCTACCTAGTGAGACACTGTCTCAAAAAGCAAAGCAAGGGGCTGGAGAGATGGCTCAGAGGTTAAGAGCACTGACTGCTCTTGCAGAGGACCCAGGTTCAATTCCCAGCACCCACGTGGCGGCTACACTCTTCTGACCTCCGCGGCATTGCATGACATGGGTGCACTCATATACACTCAGGCAATACACTCATACACATAAAATAAAAATAATAAATAAAATATTTTAAAAAATTTTTTAAAAAGCAAAGCAAAACAAAATCAATAAAAAAAAAGACCAAGGACAGAGTGGGGGAGGGGCCCAAAAGAGGGGAACAGAGTATGGTTCCTAGATGTCTGTGCAAGTGGTGGTCACAGGAGTGGGGGACCCTCACAGACATCAGAAGTTCCTCCCAAGGCTCCGGGGTCCCACACTTCAGTCCCGGTCTCCCCTGAACCCCTTACCGCAAAGGCTTCGAGCTGGGCCTGGCAAACAGGACAGAGAATGAGAGGGTGGCCTGTGATGGACAGCAACAGGTGGCCAGGGACAGCTGGGAGGGCACCAATCGGCAAGGGCTAGGGAGCCAGGAGGAAGGACCCGCGTGGGTTACTGGCAGGGTGGCCACCACCCCCAACACTGGTCCAGGGCAGGGAGCTGGCTGAGATGTGACCCAGTCTGACTGCAGTGCACAACCACCTCCAGCAACAAAGGGGATATGCTTGCTGTCCGTCAGTCAAGAGGCCACATACCAGAGGTCCTTGTACCTCAATCTCTGAGCTGCCAGCAGCAAATGTTTATGAACTTTCCACCCTGTGTTGGGCTAAGTTCCTGCCCCACAGTGTTAGGATGTTTTAGGATGTGACTCAAGTGTTAGCCACTGGTCAGGGTTTTTTGTTTATTTGATCTGAGTTTTTAATGTATTTTTTATTAAATTTTTGTGTATTTCATACAGAACATCTTAACCATCTTTATACCCCCGTCCCCTTTGGCACCTGCCATAGGCCCCCCCCCACTGGATTTCATACATTCTGTCATTTGTGTTAAGGCCTATCATGTCAAGTTAGTGTCCCCAGATGTCCCTCAGTGCAAGTTCATCCACTGAGGTCTAGTCAGCCTATTTAGAGTCCCTCCCTTTAAGAAAATCAGCTCTTCCTCATTCAGCAGTGATCAGCTGCCAATAAGTCTTCAACTAAGATTGGTGCCTGCTGCCCGTTTCCACAGTTCTGTGCTCAGTTTTTGTCTGCTTGAGTTTGCATGGGTCTTGTGCATGCTGACATGACACCATTGCTGTAGGTTTGTATGAGAAGACTGCGCCTGTAGGACTGTTTCCGTGTGGTCACGCACCTCCTCCCTGGCTCTTACAATCTTTCTGCCCCCTTTTCTGCAATGGTCCCTGAGCCCTGGGTGGGTGGAGTTTAACGTAAGAGTCCAGTCTAAGGACTCACACTCCGCAGACTCTTATTCTCTACATTTTGGCCATTTGTGGCCTTTTGTGTTCCTGGCCCTCTGTTGCATGAGGGAGTTTCATTGATGAGAACTGAAAGATGTATTAGTGTCTCTTCATCCCTTGTTCCATCTTCCCTGAGTCTTAGGTGTAGAGGTTGCATCCTAGATGTGCCACTTAGGCTTGGGCAATTCACAGACATTCTGTGTGTATGACCAGTTGTGGAACTCTCTAATAATCTCCGTCTTTTGAAAAAGAAGCTTCTTTGATGGGTGGTGAATGGAATACTTGTCTATAAATTTAAGGATCCATATTTGCACATGATACAAATTACATTTGTGTAGGGATGTGACAGCCTTGGGATTTTCTGTAAGATCTGTGACCTCTCCAGCTATGTGTATTTGGCTATGTTTCCAGTACCACACATCAGTTTCCTCCCATTGACTGGGCTGTAAGTCCAATTAGATAGCTGTTGATTACCAAGATAAAAGTGCCACTACTGGGACTGGAGAGATGGCTCAGCCGTTAAGAGCACTAACTGCTCTTGTAGAAGACCCAGGTTTGAATCCCAGCACTCACATGGCATCTAACAACTGTCCATAACTCTAGCTCCAGGGGATCTGGCACCCTCTTCTGACCTCTGTGGACATTGCATGACATGGGTGTACCAACATATATGCAAACAATACATGCATACACATAAAATAAAAATAGCCTCAAAAAGGTGGTGCATACCTTTAATCCTAGCACTTGGGAGGCAGAGGCAGGTGGATCTCTGTGAGTTCAAGGCCAGCCTGGTCTACATAGTGAGTTCCAGGCCAGTTGGGGTTACAGGGAGACCCTGTCTCAAAAAGACCAAAAAAAAAAAAAAAAGAGTTTAAAAAAAAGAAAAAAAAAAGTGCCACTACTACACCAATGTTTCCTGTGCCAGTCATTGATCTAATTTTTAGACCTTGAAGCTGGGGTTGGACCACAGATTGATGTTCTCCTTACCAGCTGTGTAGTGCTCTCCAAAGCTATGAGAGCTAGGCTTCAGGGGAGGTGGCTTCCAGGTCAGTTCCAGCTCTGTTGCTCCAAATCCTGTGTCCTATGTCCTGTCTTCAGCAATAGGGTTTTACCATCAAGTTCTGGGAGGTAATCAAGGGCTGTGGCAATAGCCTGTGTATTTCAGGAGTCTCTCTCTCTCTCTTTTTAAATATTTTATTTATTTATTTATTCATTTTAATTTTATTATTTTTATTTTATGTGTATGCCTGTATTGCCTGCATGTAGGTAAGTGCACCTGTGTCATTCAATGCCCGTGGACATCGGAAGAGGCTGTCAGATCCCCTGGAACTGGAGTTACAGACATTTGTTAGCTGCCATGTGGGTGCTGGGATTTGAACCCAGGTCTTCTGCAAGAACAACCAGTGTTGTTAACCACTGAGCCATCTCTCCAGCCCCTATTTATTTATTTTTATTTTTTATTTATTAATTTTTTGGTCTTTTTTTGAGACAAGGTCTCCCTGTAGCCCCAGCTGTCCTAGAACTCGCTATGTAGACCAGGCTGGCCTTGAACTCACAGAGATCTGCCTGCCTCTGCCTCCCAAGTGCTAGGATTAGAGGCGTGCGCCACCAAGCCCGGCTTATTATTTTTATTTTATGTGTATGAGTGTTATGCTTGCATGTATGTGAGGGCATCCTTGTCATGCAATGCCCATGGAGGACAGAAGAGGCTGTAGGATCCCCTGGAACTGAAGTTATGGACAGTCGTTAGCTGCTGTGCTGGATAGCTTTAGTGTCAACTTGACATACCTGGGTTGAGGGAGCATCAGTTGGGGAATTTCCTTCATTGGACTGGCTTATGGCCATGTCTGTGGGGCATCTTCTTGACTGTTGTTGGTTTGGTTTTATTCTCTATATAAGGTTGAGTCCTTTATCTAAAGAGCGAGAGATGTCAGAGGGCCCAGCCCAATGGTGCCATCCCTAGGCAGGTGGGCTTGTGTTGCATAAGAAAGCAGGCTGAGCAGGGGCCAGGGGAGCAAGCCAGTAAGCAGCATTCCTCCATGGCCATGGCCTGTGCTCCAGCTCCTCCTCCAGGTTCCTGCCCTGAGTTCCTACCTTGTGCTCCCTGATGAACTGTGACCCAGGAGATATAAGCCAAATAAACCCTTTCCTCCCCAAGTTGGTATTGGTCAGAGTATTTTGTCACCACATGTGAAACAAACTAGGACAGCTGCCATGTGGGTGCTGGGATTCCAACCCAGGTCTTCTGCAAGAACAGTCAGTGTTCTTAACCACTGAGCCATCTCTCCAGCCCTCAGAAGTCTCTTGGACCACCCTGGCCAACAACTCAAAGGAAGGTTTCTCCTGTCTGATACTGTTTCTTTTTATGTAGCTTTCAGCTGTACACATGACTCATGTAGGGATATTGTATGTGTAATTGATTTTTCAGTAGGTTTTTGAACTAATAGGATTTTTTGGGTTTTTTTGGTCTTTTTGAGACAGGGTTACCCTGTAGTCCCTGGAACTATGTAGACCAGACTGGCCTTGAACTCACAGAGATCTGCCTGCCTCTGCCTCCCGAGTGCTGGGACTAAAGTCTTGCCCAGCCCTTCTGGTTTTTCATACTAGCTAGGCATTATATATCTATCCTCTCTCTCTCGCTGTCTTATCCTCCCTCCCAACCCTCCCCATTTAAAATGTATCCATTTTCCCCATTTGTTCCTTGATAATTCCTGTCTGCTATGGTTCCACTGTTCTTGAGCTCCCTCTTCCTATTTATCCCCATAGTTCTGAGTTATTTTGTAGTAGTATTGATCAAATCCCCAGCCCTCACTGGGGATTCTAGGCTGTCACTCTGCCCTGACTTACACCCCCAACCCCTCACTGGGGATTCTAGGCTATCACTCTGCCCTGAGCCATGCCCCCAGCCCCTCATTGAGGGTTTCGAATTCAGGTCATCAGGTTTGGCAGCAAGCTCCTTCACCCACTAAGCCTGCTCACCAGGCATGGTGGTGCACACCTTTAATGCCAGCATTCAGGAGGCAGAGGCAGGCGATCTCTGTGAGTTCAAGGCCAGCCTGATCTACATAGTGAGTTCCAGGCCAGCTGGGGCTCCTGGGAGACCCTGTCTCAAAAAAAGGACCAAAAAAATAAAATAAAATAAATACATAAATGATGAATGGATCAAATGGAGAGAAAAACATCTCCACAGCAAGATCAGCAGGCTTACTTTGCAGTTCCATCCTTTGGCCTATACAGTATTGCCCTGGGCTGGGGCTGGGACCTTGAGCTTTATCACTGGGCAGCAGCCAAGGGTGGGGATCCGTGACCAAGCCTCCAAGTTCCAGCCCTTTGGGTCCCGCCTGGCCTGGCTGAGTCAGAGCCCCTCTGGCTGTCCTTTGAGGAGGCCTGGTCAGTCTCCTCCCCCACCTTTTTTTATTCTTTGCTTATCTTTCATCTTACGTTGAGAGGGTGTCACGTCTGCATGGAAAGCCAAGCTGGCCTCAGACTTGCAGTAACCTCCTCAGCTTCCCAAGGCCTAGAATGACAGGTGTGTGCCACCATGCTGGTTAATCCTACTTTTTTGTTGTTTTTGTTTGTTTGAGACAGACTCTCCCTGTAGTCCCAGCTGGCCTGGAACACCCTGTAGTCCAGGCTGGACTACACAGATATCTGCCTGCCTCTGCCTCCTGAGTGCTGGGATTAAAAGCATGTGCCACCATGCCCAGCTAATCTTACTTTAAAAACTTTTTTTTTTGTCTTTTTGAGACAGGGTCTCCCTGTAGCCCCAGCTGGCCTGGAACTCACTATGTAGACCAGGCTGGTTAATTACATTTTTATTTTGTGTGTGTGTGAATATGTTCACAGGTGCCTACCCACACATGTGGAGGTCAGAGAAGAACTTGGGGTGTTGGCTCTCTCCTTCCACCATGTGGGTCTCAGGGATTGAACACAGGTCATTAGGTTTAGCAGCAACTTCTTTAATCACTGAACCATCTCGTTGGTCCTAACCTTATTTTATTTTAAAAAATTTATTTTTATTTTATGTATATGAGTTTATTACCTGCATGTATGTAAGTACACCCATGTTATGCAATGCCCACAGAGGTCAGAAGGGCAGAAGACGGTGTCAGATCCCCTGGGACTGGAGTTACAGACAGTTGTTAGCTGCCATGTGGGTGCTGGGAACTGAACCCAGGTTCTCTGCAAGAGCAGCCAGTGCTCTTAACCACTGAGCCATCTCTCCAACCCCAATTAACCTTTTTTTTTTTTTAATCTTTTTGAGACAGGGTCTCCCTGTAGCTCCAGCTGCCTGGAACTCGCTCTGTAGACCAGGCTGGCTTCTAACTCACAGACGATCTGCCCGCTTCTGCCTCCTGAGTGCTGGGATTAAAGGTGTGCACCACCACACCCGGCAATCTTACTTTTTGTATTAAATTTAATTTCAAAGTCAATTGCCAGGAGGATGCTTTGCTCTGAAAACACTTCAGCATGGGCTGGGGTTGTAGCTCAGTGAGCAGGGTGCTTATATTCAGTGGGTGGACTGCTTGTAACTATGTGGGTAGAGTGCTCATAGCTCAGTTGTTAGGGTGCTTGCCTAGCATTCATGAGGTCCTGGGTTTCATCCCCAGTACCACATAAACTGGGCTCCTTGTTATAGGAAACAATTTCTCAGAGGCAAAGTCCCACTTTCCACCCTGGGGGTAAAAGGGGCTCCTGTCCCGGGCATCCCTACACTTCAGTGATTCCATGTGGCTGCCCAAGCCCCCTGTCACGTTTATGTCACCCCTGAGCATAGCTGGCAGCAAGAGGCACAGGTTAGACCAGCTCTCTCTGAGCTGCAGAGCCAGACAATTGCCCTCCACTGTGCACAGATGGCTTTTCCTTTATCCCTCTCTGTTCCAAGTTGTGATGGTAAACACACTAACACAGTGACCCAGCAGGTTTACATATAGGACACCAGGCCAAGATCTGTGACACAGATGCTTGTGGCAGCTGGGCATGCCTGTTGGTCTCAGCACTCCAGAGGCCAAGGCAGGATGACCACAAGTCTCAGGACAGCCTGGGCTATGTAGAGAGAGCCTATATCAAAACAGACTGGTAAGACAGCTCAGTGGGTAAAGGGGCTATAAACCAAGGCTCATGACCTGAGTTCAATCCCTAGGCCCTACACTGTGGAAGGAGAACTGACTTCCAGAAGTTGTTATCTGAACTCCACACATGGGCTGTGACTCCTGTAAATCCTCCTCTAAATATAATAAAAAATTTAAAGACAAAACAGAACAATTTTGTTACCCTAGATAGTTACTTAGCAAAAATATTAGCAAGCCCAAAGCTGGTTTAGGGGCATGGCGCAAAGGTAGAGTGACAGCCTGGAGATTTCCCAGTGAGTCGCTGGGAGCCTGCCTCAGACGTAGAGTGACAGGCTAGAGTCCCCCAATGAGGGACTGGGGGTGTGCCTCCAGGGTAGAATCCCCCAGTGAGGGGCTGAGGGTGTGGCTCAGGGGTAGAGTGACAGCCTAGAATCCCCAAGACCCTCTTTTTCATCTGTAGCACCACACAAATGTAGAACCTCCTGCATTATTCTGAATGGTGACACACATATAAACTCCCCGTTGAACGAAATAAAATCAAGTTATGAATTTCCCTATTTTCCTAAGGGCTTGCAAGTTCAGGCACCACAATTATAACACAAATCCAGCTGGAAAGCCCAATTTGATTTCTCCCTAAGCACTTCCTCTTTTCTTGAATTTCAGCTCCCAATTTTAGCAGAGGCTCTCACACCCCACTCCAAATAGTGAAACCTTCTTGAACTAACTGATGAAATCTGTTTTAATTCTTTTGACTTTTTTGAAACAGGGTCTCCCTGTAGCCCCAGCTGGCCTGGAACTTGCTATGTAGACCAGGCTGGCCTTGATCTCACAGAGATCTATTTGCCTCTGCCTCCAAGTTTTGGAGTTTAAGGTGTGTACCACTATGCCTGGCTATTTTTATTCTTTAAACACAATTAAAAAATTTGTCTCAAGCCAGGCGTGGTGGCACACGCCTTTAATCCCAGCACTCAGGAGGCAGAGGCAGGTGGATCTCTGTGAGTTCAAGGCCAGCCTGGTCTACATAGCGAGTTCCAGGACAGCTGGAGTTACAGGGAGACCCTGCTTCAAAAAGACTGAAAAAAAATTATCTCAAAACAAGCAAGCAAACAAACATACAAACATCCCCAATGTTTTATTATTATTATTATTTTTTTTTTTTTTTTCTTTTTGAAGCAGGGTCTCCCTGTATCCCCAGCTGTCCTGAAACTCACTATGTAGACCAGGCTGGCCTTGAACTCACAGAGATCCGCCTTCCTCTACCTCCCGAGTGCTGGGATTAAAGGCGTGCGCCACCACGTCCGGCTGTTTTATTATTTTTTTATGCTTTGAAGAATTATTTTTTTTAATTTTAAAAAATTTTTAATAACTATATGATTAGAAGAAGCATTTCACTACAGCTTTAACATATTCAGTAACACACTCCAGAGCAAGAGTACATCTCTTTCATAAGTGGGTGCAAGTTTCTAGGTTCACAGTTGAATTAATAAGGTTATACAATATTGAACTCAGTATAAGCACTGTAAGACATTAAATTGAATGAGTATTTAACCTTTAAAAAAGATCTCCATTTCATTTTAGAATATATTGTTCCTTGCAGTAAGACTCATTGTTTTTGCTACTAATACTGAGATGTTGGCACATGCATCTCTAATCTGTATGTATCTGATTATTACTAGTCATAATCAGTTGCACTTGGATCCTTGGCGCCTGTGTATGTCTATAAAGTCATCAGGTAGATTTCAATGGTAATGTTTATCACCTCTACTAATCAGCATGATGTAAATTTCCATGCTTCCTCCTTAAATACAACACATTTTAAAAAATTTTGTTGACTTTTTTGTATGTATTGTTTTATTATTTTTAAATTAGATTTGTCTGTGGGTATGTAACTGTTAGTGCAGATGCCTGAAAACTTTTTCTGAGAGGGCTTTAGGCACTCATAACTGCTGAGCCATCTTTCCAGATCATTTTTGAATTTTTAAAAAAATATTTTATTTATTTTATGTGTGTGCATGTATTGCCTGCATATAGGTAAGTGCACCAGTGTCGTGCAATGACTGCGGAGGACAGAAGAGTCTGTGGGATCCCCTGGAACTGGAGTTACACAGTTGGTAGACCAGGCTGGCCTTGAACTCACAGAGATCCGCCTGCTTCTGCCTCCTGAGTGCTGGGATTAAGTATTCATTTTTATTTTTACCTTTAAAACATATATTATTTTTGTCAGGCAGAGTGGTGCATGCCTTTAATCCCAGCACTCCAAGAGGCAAAGGCAGGCAGAGCTCTATGAGTTCAAGGCCAGCCTGGTCTACATAGCAAGTTCCTATCTCAAAAAGACCAAAAAAATTGATTTTATGTATGAGTGTTTTGCCTACCTGTATGTAGCATAATAACATGTGCTAAATGCTGGTGGAGGCCAGAGAGGGCATCAGATCCTCGGGAACTATTGTTACAGATGGTTGTTAGCTGCCATGTAGGTGCTGGGAACCAAACCCAAGTCCTCTGCAAGAGCAGCCAGTGCTCTTAATCACTGAGCCAGCTCTCCAGCCCCAAGTATATTTATTGTTCATTTCTGTATCTGTGTATGTTCACGTGCTTGCGGGTGCCAACAGAAGCCACTGGATCCCATCATGGGTGCTGGGGAACCAAACTTGGGTCCTCTGTAAGAGCATCAAGTGCTTAATCTTTGCATTACCTCCAAAACTCTTACATATTATTTCTTTTTTTTTTTGGTCTTTTTGAGACAGGGTCTCCCTGTAGCCCCAGCTGTCCTGGAACTCACTACGTAGACCAGGCTGGCCTTGAACTCCCAGAGATCCGCCTGCCTCTGCCTCCCGAGTGTTGGGATTAAAGGCATACACCACTAGCCGGCGCGACAAAGCTTTTTTGAAGCCAGTGCTGACCTTGAACTCACAGCGATCCTCCTGTCTCAGCTTCCGTGAATGCCAGGATGATAGACATTTCCTCAATTTGTTTAGATTCCAGTGCTCACAAAAAGAAATGGTCTAAAAAGGGGGGAAGGGGCTGAATTGAGTCTATGAGAAAATTTTGTTAAATCCAAATTTCCTATGAACTATCTCAGTATATTTAAACAACATCGCGAACCTTGGAAAATCTTTTTGTTTTACATTGTAAGGTGTTTTCCAAAGGAGAGTTTCAATCTAGACCATAATTAGCGTCATTACAAGGTTATTAGAATAATTGTGTCCTGTGGGGGATAGGCACTCAGGGTGGCCCTTTTTTTCCCCACATATATTCTTGCTATGTCCTGTCAACCAAACTCCCTGGGGCGGGGAATCCCACGGATGGTGAGACCCTACAGTGGGAGATGGTGACAGAGACCCACAACTCTAAACCACACACATAGCAGCTTCCCAAACCTGAGGCCCAGCTGTGGGGGCGGGGCTGTCCCCTACGTCACTACGCAACGCCACGATGGCCCCGCCCTACAAAGTGACGTAATGCTCAGGGGCGGGATCCTCAGAGCACCAACCAATCCTCAAAAGGGCATTTCCGTCCGGTTTTCGACCTCCACCAATCAGAGCCCCGTAGGGGCGGGACGCGTGTGCTTCTTCCGGCGACGCTTGGGGCTCCGCACCCCGTACGCCCCTCAGGGTGAAGCGAGCCCTCGAGGGCGGGACCCTCAGAACTCCAACAAATCCTCCATGGGGGTACTTCCGCCTTTCTTTCCCCTTTTGCCAATCAGAGGCCCGCAGGGAAGGAACGCGCCTCGTTCTTCCGGAGGCCGTCCCAGCACCGCCCCGCTTCTCGAGCGCCTCATGCGACCGCATTTGCGCCTGCGTGGAGGGGCGTGGCCTGCGGGAACGGCGCGTATAAAAGCGGGCGTCGTCGCCGGCGCCATTTTGCGAACGGCGAGCAGGGGCGGCAGCGCGGAGAGTGCAGCGGAGGTTTTGCTGGTTTCGGACCCGAGCGGCCGGATGGTGAAATCCTCCCTGCAGCGGATCCTCAACAGCCACTGCTTCGCCAGAGAGAAGGAGGGGGATAACCGTAGCGCCACGCTCCACGCCAGCTGCACCATGCCGCTTCTCAGTCTGCACAGCCGCGGCAGCCGCAGCAGCGAGAGGTAAATGCCCCACCTCCACCGCTACGAAGCTTCCAGAAGCACTGCCCCGCGGGCCCTTGGGGAAGTACCGACTGTGTAGGCCTAGCGCGCTGTGGGTCTCCCGGCGCCAGATAAGTCTCGGCAGCGCGAGATCCGCCCCTTTGTCGAGGCCACAATTGCGGTGGGGGCGGGGCCTAAAGGGGCGGGGCGGGGGCGGGTGTGGAGTGGGTTCGGATGGGATTTGGGACTCCCGGGTTCCGCTTGGATTTGGATTGGACGGGGGAGGGATTTGGCTAGCATTTAGGGGTATAGTCACATTAAGGAGACGGGTGTTAAGGTGGAGGACCGAAAGGGCTTCGTGGGTTCTGGGTTCAGATTTGGGGTGCGGAGAAGTGGGTCCGATTACGTCATGTTTAGGACTGGGTTTTGATGTGGATTGAGGGAGAGGCTGGGATAATAGATTTGGGGCCTGGGGTCAGATTTAGGGTTCCAATCAGATACAGAGGTTGAAGATAAGAGACACATTTGAATTGAGTTGGTTTGGTGGGAGGCAGGTTGACAGATTTGAGGTGCTGTATTGGAGGATTCTGTTTGGATTTGGGAGTCCCCGGTTTAAGACTTAGAAGTGGTGTGGTGTTGGAGAGGGATTTGTCTCTGCGGTTTCATGGTGGGAGAGGATCTGAGGTCTCACTTGGATAAGATTGAGAGTTCCATGTTGGAGTCTCAGATTTGGGATGCTATAGGGAAGGAGGATTTATTGGTTAGGGTTTTGGTGAGTTTGGGAGCGACTGGTCTGATTTGGGGTTTGGCTTGAGGACTTTGTACTGGGGTCAGATATGGGGGTGTCTCTGGTTGACAGAGTGGTGTGGGAGGGTCGTGGAAGTGGTCAGATTTGCGGGGGGGGAGTGTTGACCCTGGGGTCAACTTGGAGTTGACTTGGCGTGGATGGGTAGGGTGGGCAATTTTTGTGAGTTGGAAGTTGCACTGTGGGATTTGGGGTGATACTGGAGCACTGCTGAGTCCCAAGGAAGTGAGGGGAGGGTCCAGAGTCCACTTGGCACTGATAGGTGGGTGGTTGATTGAGGGGGAGGGGACTGGCTTGGGAAGGAGGGTGTGGAGTGTCCGGATTGGGAGGGCTGGGGGCTCAAGACATGGTATGTACTGAGTGAACATACCATGAGTGAACAGGAAGGGAGGTTTGGGGGTCCTTGGGGTAGAGCAGGAATGGGTGCTTTGGGGGCTCCTAGGGTTGCAGGTGGAGAGGGTTGCTGGTTGGTGGTCCCTCTGCTGGCCAAGGTGGGGAGGAGGTGGCCTGGATAATTGCAGGGTCCCTATCTGGTACAGGGGATAGGGCAAGTGCAGGCAGGTCTCTAAGCCCACACCCTACAGTTCCAGGCAGTCCGTCCACTGCTGTAGTAACCTGGGTCCAGGGCCTCGGTGGCGCTCCTGATGTCCCTCACCCACCCCTGAAGATCCCAGGTGGGCGAGGGAACAGTCAGCGGGATCACAGTCTTTCAGCCAGCGTCCTCTACTCCGTGAGTAGCAGTGGCTGGGTCCGGGGGGCAGGAGCTGTCACCAGCAGGGGAGAGACCCCAGTCCTCACAGGTCCTGTCCCCCAGGACGAGCGGCTGAATGTGACCGAGGAGCCGACGTCTAACGACAAGACTCGCGTCCTGAGCATCCAGTGCATGCTCACAGACGCCAAGCATGTGACCTGGAGGGCGGTGTGGAGCGGTGGCGGCCTCTACATTGAGCTCCCTGCCGGACCCCTGCCTGAGGGCAGCAAGGACAGGTGGGCACCACCCAGGATGGGGGCGCCAGCAGCGGGGGTCTGGGCTGGGCACAGCTGCTGACCTTTTCCCCACAGCCTCGCAGCTCTCCTGGAGTTCGCTGAGGACCAGCTCCAGGCTGACCATGTCTTCATCTGCTTCCACAAGAACCGAGATGACAGAGGTGCGGGGACAACCCATGGGGGAGGGTGGGGCACAGGTGGGGGCTCCCAGCTCTGACCTCATGTCCCCCACAGCCGCCCTGCTCCGAACCTTCAGCTATTTGGGCTTTGAGATTGTGAGACCTGGGCACCCCCTCGTCCCTAAGAGACCCGATGCTTGCTTCATGGCCTACACGCTGGAGAGAGAGGCCCCAGGCGACGAGTAGGCCAGTGGCCGCACCTCTCCTGGCTTGTCGCATGTTGTGATTGTGCAAAATAAACGCTCACTCCACAGTAGCGGGCACTGCCTGCAGTTTTGTTGTGTTGCGATACTCAAGTGTTTGCTTCAATTCTAAATAAAGGTTTCTATTTTACTTTTTCATCGCTGTTCAAGCTGGTCTGGTGACCTGTGCTAAGGAGCTAGGTGAAATCTGGCAGTGTCACCTCCCCTGCTCCAACCAATAAAGCCATCAGTTCACCCGCTGTGTCTGTGTCCTGCCACTCACCTCCCTGCCTTGTCTTCTTGCTGCTCAATCTCTGGGGGACTGAGGTGTAGGATCTGTGATCACCCCGACCTGGGGCTGTGGAGGACTGCAGTGCCTGTATCCTGGCCTGAAGGTGGCAGCAGCTGCCCTCGCCAGTGGCCAGAACCCCCACCAACATGCTGTTGCAATGGGCTGCACTGCCACCTGCTGGTGGGCACAGGAGCTGGGGTGAGGCAGCCGTGCCCAGTGGGGCTGGGCTGCAGGAGGCTGGAAGGGATTGAGAACAGCTGGTGATTGCCCGGGAGCTTAGATTGCCAACAACCACTGCACAAGGTGGGCAGGCATTTGAAAGGCAGGCTATGCATCCCTTCAAGTACTGGGTCAGAGCCTGGGAAATATATCCCAAGGGTCCCAGGTGCCAGGGCTTCCCTCACCCTGACTGCCCCAGCCATTGTCAGTGGGGGTAGGGTCTGGAAATCCAATACCTGCCAGGCACTGACTGGAAAGAGCCTGGGGAACTGGGTTGTGAGACATACCTAGGAGGCTGACTCCCTACACCCTTAACAGGGAAGCTTGGGTGCAATGTCTCCAGGTGACTCAGTACTGACAGCCTGACATGGGGCTTCCAGCTCCCCCTCCTTTCTGGCCACTGGGTTGTGAGGCCAGTCGTTGAGATAGCCATACTCCATGTCAAAAATCAAGGGCCAGCCAGATGGTTCAGCAGAGGAGCCTCACAGAACCATGTAACCTGACTTGATCTTGCTAGGAGAGTGCCAGCTCCCAACCTCCACACCTCCTGTGGGGTGCATAGCCCACAGCAGTAAAATTTAAAACTGGTCACAGACATGGCTCGGTTGTCAGAGGGTTTTACTCAAGTGAGCAGCAGAATTCACCTGTGTAAAATCCCAGACCCTGAGAAGGGGACATTAGCAAGACAGCCAGGCCCTTTTCCTTTCCTTCCTCTACATTCTTTGTGTGTGGGCCATGTGTGCAGTGCCCATGGAGGCCAGAGGTTTCAGATCCTGAACTGGAGGTCTGATCCTCCTGTGGGAGCCAGGAACTGAACCCTGATCTCTTGCAAGAGCAGGCAGTGCTCTCACATTAAACCAGTTCTCTAGTCCCTGTGACTCTTGCAGTGCCGGGATGAATAAAGGGACAAGCAAACCCCACTGAGCTATGCCCTCACTGGGGATTCTAGGCTGTCACTCTACCCTGAGCCACGCCCCCAGCCCCTCACTGGGGCTCTTAGGCTGTCTACCTCTGGGCCACAGGTCCCAGGGTGGCCCATGTTCTGGTGAGTCAGGGTCTGACAACCCCATGGGGCTCCCCCACCCTTGGATCACTGTGGGACCCAAGGTAATTGTGAATCTCACAAGGGGAACTGGGTGGGGGAGGCTGGAATTGCTACTGTGAGAACCTGTCTGGCTTTGGAAAGGCTCAGTTCTTGGGGACCAGGCCCTGTGTATAGTGGTCCATCTCAAGCTGCCCCCCTGATGTCCACTAGGCCAGACATTCTGTCCCAATACCACCCACCTGAGACCTGAGTGACTAATTCCTATTTCATGGGTGAGGAAATGAGTCCAGTGAAGGCAAGAAACTTTACCAGGGTCACTCAGGAAGAAGCCAGGTGTCCATCTGTCCCGGGGGATACTAGGGGCAAGGAACTTCACCGGTTTCTTATTCACCAAAGCACTCAGATCCTACATTTCTGTACACAGTCACCCCACATATGCCCCTAGATCCAGCCAGTGGCATAAGCAGTTCTGAGCCACTCACTGGAAGATGCTGAGACAGATGGCCCCACCTGGGCAGCTCAGCTCAACTTCAGCAACCTCAGTGGGCAGCCCTGATGGGGGCAATGGACTGGGGGGTGCTGCCTGGACCCAGGGAAGAGACAGCTGGAACCTCACTGTATAAAGGTGCAGGTGTCAGAGGCCCCAATGGGCATTCTGCCTATGTGTAAAGAGTGTTTCCCGCAGGGATGGGTGGTCCAGGCCTGACATCCCAGCTAAGTGGGAGGCTGAGAAAGGATGACCCTGAGTTCAGTTCAGGCTTAGACAATGTTGTGAGATCCTATCTCAAAATTAAAAATAGGGCTGAAATGTAGCTGGGCAGTAGCGCCCCTGCCTAGAATCACCTAGTAAGGAACTGGAGGGTGGTGTTCAGGGGCAGAGAGTCTAGAATCTTCCAATGAGGGCTGGGGGCATGGCTCAAGGGTAGAGTGACAGCCTAGAATCCCCCAGTGAGGAGCTGGTGGTGGTGCTCAGAGGCAGAGTGACAATCTAGAATCTCCCAGTGAGGGGCTAGGGGCATGACTCGGGTAGAGTGACAGCTTAGAATCCCCCAGTGAGGGCCAGCAGAAGCCAAGAAGAGAGACCCCACCCCCTACCCCCAAAGTAAGTAGGTCCTAGGGCAGGGGAACAGGTGGAGGGTGAGGGTGATGGGCATAGTGGCACACACCTATTACCCAAGCCTGGGCTACAGGAGACGATGTTGCTAAAAAGGAAATGCCTGGTACTATGGCACATGCCTTTAGCCTCAGCACTCAGGAGGCAGACCTCTGAGAGTCCAGCCTGGGCTACATAGTGAGTTCCAGGCCAGCTGGGGGTACAGGGAGACCCTGTCTCAAAAAGACGGTGAGTTCCAGGCCAGCTGGCCTCAAACTCACAAAGATCTGACTGCTTCTGCCTCCCAAGTGCTGGAATTACAGGTGTGTGCCACCATGCCCGGCCTCAAAACAAACATTTTCTAATAAGATAGGCCAGTGCCTCAGAGCCAAGAGCCTCTGCGATTTCAGGGAGGAACAAGCAGAATGGCATGTCCTTCTAAGCCTTTGTGTCCTGAGAGCCACATCTCCTTCTGCAGGGCCATTTAGGAAGTCCCCACTTCCTACATTGAACTACAAGCACTCTACCCACTGAACTACAAGCATTCTACCCACTGAGCTACACCCCTAGCCCTTGTTTTTGTTTTGTTTTTTGAGACAGGGTCTTATGTAGCCCAGGCTGGCCTCCCAACTCACTATGTGACTGAAGATGACTTTGAACTCCTGATCTTCCTCCCTCAGCCTCCTCAGTGCTGGCATGACAAATATGTGATACACGCCCAGCACCAAACTGTGACCTCTGGCAACCTGCTTCTTTCCCTGAGGTCCCTACTGCAGCTAAAGCCAGGTAGCTCCCCTCACCACTGTCCCCCACTAAGGGTCCTGACCACCCTGGCACTCCTCTGAGAATGTTTAAAAATCAGACATCTTGGGGCTGGAGAGATGGCTCATCTAACACTGACTGTTCTTGCAGAAGACCCAGGTTCGAATCCCAGCACCCATATGGCAGGTAACAACTGTCTGTAACTCCAGTTCCAGGGGATCAGCCTCTTCTGTGCCAGGGCATTGCACAACATGGGTGCACTCGCCTACAGGCAGGCAATACACACAAAAATAAATTTTAATCGGACATCTTTTATTAAATTGGTTTTATTTGATTCCAATCAAACACTGTGGGGTCAAGGGTGTCTCCTTTCTAGGGGCTAGGGGACCCTGATGTAACACACTGTCACCTTGGGAGCCATAACACTGCCCAGAGCACACCCCTTTTTGTCTTTTAATGATGCTAAAGGCACTTGGATATTATTTTTTTGAGGACCCTCAAGGTTACCATGGCAACCGCAGCTAGGAGGGTGCTGAAAGACTGAAGTGGTCAGTCCTGCCTGGCTCAGGAGTAGAGTCTGGAAATACCATTTTCACTCAGTAACTCATGTCCTCCTGACTGGTCTGTATGATGCAAGGCTGGGGGGGGCAGTACAAAGGGCTTCCATGTTCTCAGTCACAGCTCAGGGATCACTGGTCAATCTGTGTGTGTGTGTGTGTGTGTGTGTGTGTGTGTGTGTGTGTGTGTGTGTGTGTACGCGCGCCACTTGTATACACTTCCCCCAGAGGTCAGAAGAGGGCGTTAGATTCCTTGGAAATGGAGTTACAGCCACCATATGGGTGCTGGGCATAGAACCCAGGTCCTCTGCAAAGAGCAGCCAGTGCTCCCAACCCCTGAGCTGGCTCTCCAGACATTCAGATCCACTCCATAGAGGAAGACAGGGAGGGTCCCAGTGGATCTCAGATCTCATAGTTGGGCAAAGGGTAGCAGAGCTGCCGTAGAGACCCTTCATCCCACATCTTCATCTTCCGTTGTTCCCTCCTGGTTTGTGACCACATGCCAGGAGGTGTCCTGTATCCCCTCTCCCTACAGTCTCCTAACTGACCTGGCAGAAGTGGAGGAGTCACTGAGTGTATTCAGGGGAGGCTACTGGGTCCTGCCTTGGTCCTGCCTGGTGTCAGAATCCCTCTGCACCACCACTGTCCACCTGCAGAGGGGCACCTGCAGAGGGGACCCTGAATTTTGACTCCCCACAGCCGCCATGGGTCCCAGCCAAGAAACCCAGCACAGAGTGGTGAGACAAGTTGAAACTGTTAGAAAATACTTCAGAAATTGCAAAAGATTTGACCTGTGCAAAAACAGTCCAGTAGATGAATGTCTACCCAAAAAACGGGGAAGTTCTGCCCATGAATTGACTTGTAGCCGTTGTGCTTCCCCTGAGGAAAAAAACATATATGCATAGGTGGAAATTATCTGGAGCTGAACGAGGCTTAGGAGGTTCTCACCCCCGACACCCACACCCCACACTCCAAGATAGGCCTCAAATCATCTTCATGTTGAACTTGCGTGCACCACCCTGGCCAGCTGCTGCCGCTGGACCGTCCACCTTTCGGAAAGAATATTCCATGGAAAAATTGTTCTTATGCTGTCCGCGGCCTCGGCTCCACACAAAGAGCAGCAGGAAACAGAAGAGGACGACCCCTAGAAAGGTGATGCACCCCATAGCAGTGGACACCAGGATGGTGGTCAGATCCAGTGGGAAGCGCATGCCCACCTGGGTCTCATTATGAGCCTCGCCCTGGGTCCGGTTGGCAGCTGGCTTGACAGTCAGCGTGGCAAAGTAGGTGTCATTGCCTCCGGCATTGCTGGCCACGCACGTGTAGGTGCCACTGTCTTGGGGCCGCGAGTCTGCGATGGTCAGCGTGCCTCCTGGCAGCACACGTGCCCGACCCTCGCTGGTGGCTGTCACAGTCTGATGCTGGGGTGTCACCCAGGCCACGGTGGGTGCTGGCTCGCCCTCAGCCCGGCACAGAAAACGCACATTGTCACCCTCATTGGCTGCCACATGCTGCAGTCGCCTCTCTCGGATCTTGGGTTTGCGACACACAAAGTACTCGAAGAGGACAGAGTCTGGGAGGTTTTGCAGAGCATCACCTCGCACCTCAGCTGGGGTGGCGCAGGCTGGGAGCCTGCCATCGAAGTTGAGGGTCTTACGTCTCTGCACGATCCACAGGAGGCGACAGTCACAAGCCAGCGGGTTGCCATCCACGCGCAGCGTCTCTAATGTGTTGATTGAGTGGAAAGTGTTCTCTTCCAAGGTGGACAGGAGATTGTCTGACAGGTTGAGCAGGCGGATCTGTCGCAGGCCCAGGAAGGCCTGGGGCTCCACCACAGCCAGCAAGGCCCCAGCCAGGTGCAGCTCCCGGAGCCTGACCAGGTTCCTGAAGGAGCCTCGGGGTACCGTGCTGATGGGGTTGTGTGACAGATTGAGACAGGTCAGATGGGCCTGCTGTCGCAACGCGGCAGCCGGCACAGCAGTGATGTTGGTGTGGGTGACAGATAGTGATGTCAGGTTGAGTCCCCGCAGGCTGCCTGCGGCCACCTCCTCCAGCAGTGGCCAGTTGTCTATCTCAAGATGCGAGAGTCCTGGAATCTTCTGGAAGTTCTGCTCTTCCAGGGCCGCAATGGCCAAGTGGCGGAGACGCAGGGTGCCCAGACCTCGCAGGTGGCCCAGTGACTCTCCTGACAGTGATGTGAGGTTGCACCGCTCCAGGGTCAGCTCCTCCAGAGCCAGAAGACCTGAAAAGGCCCTTCGGGAGATAAAAACCAGGTCGTTGTCACCCACCTCAAGCTGCCGTAGGCTGTGAAGGTCCTGGAACGTGTAATCTAACAGGATAACCAGTTTATTCTCACTCAGGTCCAGTAGAGTGAGGTTGTCCAGGTGTGTGAAGACCCCCGGTGGGATCAACTTCAGTTGGTTGCCACGGAGACGCAGGATGCGTAGACTGGGCAAGTTGGCAAAGGCACCCGGCTCAACGTGGGCGATCACATTGTGGCTGAGGTCCAGTTCCTCCAGGGAGGGCAGTGAGGCCAGATCCCCTGGGTTCAGACAGCGGATGCGGTTGCGGTTGAGTTCCAACAGGCGTGTTTGCACTGGGATACTGTCTGGGATGGCTGTCAGGCGGCGGCGACCACAGGCCACTGTGCGGGTGGGCATGGAACACTCACAGCGAGCTGGGCAGCCCCCTGCAGGGGTTGGCACTGTGGGCAGCAGCAGGAGGTGCAAGCCCAGCATGCGTAGCCAACAGGTCATGATGTAGGGTCTGGGCCTAGGGCCGCACCAGCATCGTTCAGAGGACCTGGGATGAGGATGGGGATAATATCAGTAAAACCACACCTAGGCACTGCCAATCCCAGTCAGACCTACCCACAACTGCATACCCGAATGGTGGAAGATCTGAACCCACAAGTTCCCCAGAAACTTTAACACAGAATGAATAGTGGCAGTGTATGTAATAGCAACTCAGAGTCCCCCAACTGACAACAGATACACAGTGTGGGGGGGAGCATCCCTGCTGAAGTATTACACAGCCCCCAACAAGAATGAGATTCTGACATACACCACAGTATGGCAGGGCCCTGAGGACTGGGGAGCTGAAACTGTAGAGAAAGCAAGACCCTGGGGGCCCAGGGCAGGTGGGAATGCAGTGCTTGATGCCAATGGATGCGGGACTTTCTTCAGCACTGGCTGCCCGCCCCACCCGTCTTTCCCTACCTTTCCCAGAAAGAGCACAGACCCAGGGGTCGGGATGGGGGGTGGACATAGATGGCGGCTGGATGGAGTTGCCTGGCCCCTTCTAGAGCATGAGTTCCCATCTGCCAGGTGGCTATTTTTGGAATCTTAGCAGCTGAAGCCCCCCAAGCAGGTCCCAGCATCTCTCTGTCCACACTGACCTGCTTTTCTCCTTGCTGAGCCACTGAACAGACTGACTGGGAGGCAGGTGGCTGAGTGACCTATGCTTGAGAGGACTGAGGTGGGAAGGAACAGCTGCAAGGCAGAGCCCCTGCTTAGAGCCCCCAGTGAGGGGCTGGGAACCTTTAGGGGTATAGCTTCTGCCTAGAATCTTCTTCTGCTCCTGTGTTCTTTCTTTTCTTCCATCCTTCCTTCCGTTCCCTTCCCCCTCCCTCCTCCCTTTCCCCCTCCCTTCCTTCCCCTCTTCCTCCCTCTTTCTGTTTGGTGTGTGCAGGTGCCTTTGTGGCCATTGTTGAAGTACTAGTTCTTCCTGAATCACTCTCCGCATTGATTTTTGAGACAGGGTCTCTCAATGGGGCTTGGAGTTTGCCAATTTAGCTGTCCAGGGAGCCCCAGGGAGCCTTCTGTCTCTGCCTCCCCAGCACTGGGACACAGATGGCTCCTGTACCGCTCCAGCTGTCCTGGAACTCACTATGTAGACCAGGCTGGCCTTGAGCTCAGAGATCTGCCTGCCTCTGCCTCCCAAGTGCTGGGATTAAAGGCATGCGCCACCACACCCGGCTTGTTATTATTTTTTTAAGTATTTTATTACTTTTATGTGTATGTTATGCCTGCATGTAAGTAAGTGCACCCATGTGGTACAATGCCTGAGGAGGACAGACGAGGCTGTCGCCCTGGAACTGGAGTTACGGACAGTTGCAAGCTGCCATGTTGGTGCTAGAATTCAAACCCAGGTCTTCTGCAAGAACAACCAGTGTTCTTAACTGCTGAGCCATCTCTTCAGCCCCTGTACCCAGGATTTAAACTCAGGTCTTCACGCTTGTGCAGCAAACACTTTACTGATTGAGCCGTGCCCACCCCTTTTCTTTCCTTTGCTGTAGAGGAGACACATTTGGCCTTTTTTAGCTAATGAAACCACACACACACACACTCCTCCAGTGTTTTTTATTTTATGTGTATGAGTGTTTTGCCTGCATGTATGTAAGTGCACCTGTGTGTGCAATGTCCATAAAGGCTCTTGGATCCCTGGAACTGGAATTATGGACAGTTGTTAGCCGCCATGTGAGTGCCGGGTCTTCTGCAAGAACAGCCAGTGCTCTTAATTTCTGAGATATTTCTCCAATCTGTCTGTCTGTCTCTATTTATTACTTTTTTTTTAAATTTGTGTGAGTGTATTGCCTGCACGTATGTGAGTGCACCCATTTCATGCATTGCCGTGGAGGTCAGAAGAGGGCTTCAGATTCCCCTAGAACTGGAGTTAAGAATGGTTCATAGCCACCAAGTGGGTGCTGGGAATTGAACCCAGGTCCTCTGCAAGAGCAGTCAGTGCTCTTAACCGCTGAGCCATCTCCCGAGCCCCTTATTATTACTTTTTAATTTTATGTATATGAGTGTATTGTCTGCATGTATGTAGATGCACCCATGTCCTGCAGTGCCCGCAGAGGTCAAAAGAGGGAGAGGGAACTGGATGTCCTAGAACTGGAGTTACAGAGATTTTAGCTGGCATGTGGTCCTGAGAATCACACTGCTGAGTCAACTCTCCAACTGCTCTGTGTTGTTTTGTTTTCTTGGTCTTTTTGAGACAGGGTCTCTCTGTAGCCCCAGCTGGCCTGGAACTCTCTTTGTAGACCATGCCAGCCTTGAACTCACAGAGATCCGCCTGCCTCTGCTGGGATTAAAGGCGTGCGCCACCACGCCCGGCTCTCCTCTGTTTTTTTTTAAAATACAGCATCCACCTCTAGTTCCAGCTGGCCTAGAACTCTCTAGGTATGTGGTCTTAGAGCTCTAGGCCTCTCCCTCCCTAGTAGCTGATCGCCAGGCTCCAAAAGGAATCTTTCAATCAAATTCTGATGGAACTTGCTAGAGAGGAAAACAGGCAGTGTCCACACGGTGACAGGTCGGGAGTCTCTGGCTCATAGCTACTTGCTGTGTGACCCTCCATGGCAGCTGAGCCCTTTCTGACCCTCACTTATCAGAACTCAGCCACAAGATCCCTCCAGGACACCCATAACTAGAGTACTCTCTATAACTACTCTGCTAGCAAGGACAGCATATCTCCTGAGCCTTCCCGGCAGGGCCATTCAATGGTGACCTAGATTTTCAACGCTAACCTTTCTCAGCCTTGTCATCTCCTCTGCGGGTGACAGAAGAGGGGTGTGCACAGCTGTCTGAACTGCCAGCTCCCACTGTGAACCTGATTGACTGTGTGTCCCTGGAGGGCTGTGCTTGGCCTCTCTGAGCAGCTGCTGGCTGCAAATGTATCTCCCATGGGGCAGAATCTCAGTCAAGGTGCCTGAATGGCCCCCAGATAGTCTTACTATCAGATGAAAATGCTGAGTGCCCCAAGCAGGAAGAAACCCTCTCTGAGCCTGTCCTTCCTTCCTTCCTTCCTTCCTTCCTTCCTTCCTTCCTTCCTTCCTTCCTTCCTTTTCCCTCTCTCCCTCTGTCCCCTCTTTCCTTCCCTCCCTTCATCCTTCCCCTCCCTCCCCTCCTTCTGCCTTCCTTCCTTCCTTCCTTTCCTCCCTTCCTCCCTCCCTCCCTCCCTCTCTCCCTCCTCTCTCTTTTGAGACAGGGTCTCCCTGTAGCCCAGGCTGGCCTGGAACCTGTAGACCATCCTGTCTATGATCTCACAGAGATCTGCCTGCCTCTGCCTGCCAAGTGCTGGGGTTAAAGGCTTGCACCACCAGGCCCCCAGCTTCTCTGAACCCTTTCAGATTCTCCCCATCCCCAGATCCCAGACTACAGTGGCAGTGGGGGTTGGGCATTCCAGGCTGAATCCTTTTGAATCATGGGAGGCTAGGAATTGGTGGTTCCTGGTTGTTGGAGATGGCAGAACAGGAGCGTGGTGTCTGTCCTCCCTCTGTCCCCTCTCTCCCTCTGTGGCTGTGGTGGAAGGATGTATACAGGGCTATCTCTCCAGGTTTCCACATTGAAAACCACCCACTGGGGATGTCTCCTGCCTTTCAAGGGTTCAACTACTATCTGTTGTTTACTTTTGAGACACTGTAGCCCTAACTGGTCTCAAACTCACAGCAATCCTCCTGCCTCAGCTTCCCAGGTGGTGGAATGGCAGGCGGAAGCCTCCAAGCCCAACTGAATGAGCATCTCTTCAATGTCCTGTACAAAGAGGTCTCAGCCACTCCGTGTTACCTGTGCTACAGCCCCAGAGACAGAATCAGTCTTTGGTGTTCTCCCTGATTGGCTCAGAGTGTCTCCAGTGTCACACCTGGAAGCTGTGAGCAGTCCTGGCTCCATTCTGTCTAGCACAGGTCAGAAAAGTTGGAATACCTCACTTGCCCTCCAGAACAATTTGTTGGCCCCCTCAAACCTACAGGGCACAGTGACTGGTACAAGCCCATTTATCCCAGTATTCAGGAAGCTGAGGCAGGAGGATTCAGGACAGCCTGGGCAAATTAGTGACACCCATTCTCAAAAAGAAGGAGAGGGGTGGGATCTAGACACAGGGGTAGAATGACAGCCTAGAACTACCCAGGGAGGGGCTGGGGTCAGGGCTCAGGGGTAAAGTGACAGTCTAGGAGCCCCCAGGAAGGGGCTGGGGGCGGGGCTCAGGGGTAGTGTGACAGCCTAGGATTCCCCCTTGAGGGACGGGGAGTGGGGAGCTCAGGGTTAGACCTCTGGTCTAGCAAATGTACTCCCTGGGATCCATTCCCAGCACTGCAAAAATAATCACAAAGAAAGGGACAGCTTTGCCCCTGTGTTCCCTCCAGGGCTCTGCACCAGGTCATGGGAACAGACAGCTGCCACAGAGACTCCCAGCTGGAACCTTCTGGCCTGTCCCCACCCATGGTAGAACCCTTGAGTCCTGCCTGCCAGGGCAGCTCAGGTAGAGCCTTCACAGTCCCCCTCCATGGGCTTAGGGGGTCTGGGAGGCACAGTGTTGAAGTGTTGACCCCTGTGGAGAGAGGAAGCTGGCTTCAAGGACATGACTCATTAATATGCATGATGAGCCACCACAGTGGCCTTCGCCGTGTTGGAGAGCCAGGGCCAGTCTTGAGCGCCAGGGTTGGCTTGTGTGCAGATTCAGCCCACCCAGTCATGTGCGTCCCCCATTTTGCTTTCTATGACCCCTACCTCAGCAAGCCATTAGTTGGGGCCCCACAACTCCAAGTGGTCCCCCCAGTGCCTTTCAGTATATTAATAATATATAACACTTCTAATTTTAGAACATTCCATCATCCCAAAAGGATGCCCGGTCCCCATGAGCCATCATTTCTTTCCTTCTGCAACCCCTGGGCATCCATGAATCCACTTCCCATCCAACCATTTTCCTGTTTTCTATGTTTCCTATCACAGCATCCTGTGCTGGGTGGCCTTTTGTGTTGGGGTCTCTCACTGAGGGTGAACTGAAAAAAATATAAAGGAAGAAATCAATTGATGGGGAACTGGAGAGCTGGTTCAGTATTTAAGAGCACTGGCTGCTTTTGCAGAGGACCTGGGTTCAGTTCCCAGCACCCAAATGGTAGCTAATAACCATCTGTAACTCCCCAGTTCCAGGGGATCTGACACCCTCTTGTGGTCTCCACAGACATTGCACACATATGATGCGCATATCCACACACAGACACACAAATAAAATCTTAATTGGGGTCAGTGAGGAACACAGAACACTGGAACTGAAGTTAGGTGTTCCCACTCAGTGCCTGAGTAACGGGGAGCCACAGACAGCTAGAGTGCAGCATGATCAGAAACACTTTACACAGCAGTTGCTGCCTAGTCTGAGGACCTGAGTTTGATCCCCAGGAGCCACATGGTAGAAGGAGAGAACTGACTCCTACAAGTTTGATCTGACCTCCGCATACACGCACATGCACACAGATCAGAAACCTGTCCCTCCCCTGCACCCCTGCTTCAAGTTGAACCTCTAGGGTCCCCTCGCCCACTCCCCTTGAGCAGAGAGACATCTGCCTCCCCTAGCCCATGTTCCTGTTTTGCTAAAAGGCCATACAGGACTCCCAGGCTGAGGTGTGAAGGAAAGCTCAGCCTAGAAGATTCTCCATGAATAGGCATCAAATCTAAAAGTTACCATTATGTGCTGCCTGGGTTTGGAGTTATCAGTTTTCAAAGCCCTGCTCTGGTCCTGTCCAAGTGTCTAACATTTTCATTCATTCATCCAATCAACAAGCATTGAATTGGCACCTGCTGAATGACTGGTGCTGTTGTCATGTTTTACAGAGACAGGACTATCCTGGGGACAGATCCTCAGAGGGAGGCAGGAGGGTGAGAGCTACAGAGGCTGGAAGATACTGTGCTATTGGTCTGAAGGAGGAAGGGGGTCACAAGCCAAGGGATGGGGCCCTCTAGACAATGAGACTGGTGGGTGTTCCCTGAAGCTGCTGGGAGGGACCAGCCCCATCTAGATTCTAGAACTTCTGCAAAGGGAGGGGACACATTCCTATGGCAGGTGGTGACCTAGGACTACCAGGGTTTGGAGGAGGGAGGTGAGCTTTGACTTCTGCTGGGCACCTGATGCTGGGAGAGCAGAAAGCACTTATCTCCCCACTCCAGCGTCTGACACCTGCCTCAGTCACACTGTGGGTACCTGCTGGAGGTCCCTAATGTTTATATCCATGGAGCAATTTAGAACACAGGCTTCTTTTTTCCCAGCAAGCCCCTCTAGACTGGCTATGAATTCTGGAAGGAATTTGGCAAAGAAGTGTTCAGGCCAAGGGGAGACAGAATGCTGCTGGGGGCTCCTGGGTCCCTCGACCCCTTTTAGACCACAAAACCCTGGGCTTCCCCATGTGTGTACGGGAGGCTGAACCCACCGGGGGGGGGGCAGAGGAAGACAGACATTTAACATGAGGGTCCTCCATCCCCAGGTCTCAGCAGCCTTCTGTTCTTTGTCCCTTGGTCTCCCCACCAAAATAAGGATATGTGAATAGAGTGAATGGGGTGCAGACAAGCCTGGAGCACCCTCACACAGCACCTCTTCTGAGTTCCATTTCTGGGGACACTCTCCCAGCCCCCTACCCCCACCTCCACCCCCAGGACCAGTACATTCTTTGTCCTAGATCTAGATCCTCCCTGGGGTTTTTAATTCATGACAATTCATTAAAGCCCTAATTAGCCTCCCATCTGCCATGGGTCTCTGTCCACCGTTTTGGGGGGTGGGGGAAGCCTCCTGACCCACTTTCTTTAGTAGCCTGTGCTGGGAGGGGTTATCTGATTATGGTGGGGGAAAAAGGAGACCCAGGGTCAGAGTGGACCTCAGCTCACCAATGAGTATCGGGATATGATATCATGCCAGCTCTGCTTTTCACAAAACTCCCAACTCTTCAACATTCCCAAGGTTCAAGATTGACAAGGAAGGTTGTGGGCGGCTCACCTGGGGTGCCTGTCCTCAAGACAAGGGTTGTGGGGGGAGTTCTTCAAAAAGGCATTCTGCCTGGTGTCAGTGGTGACTCAGGGGTGCCTGGGAGTGACAGCCTTGTGGGCAGAGGCATCAAACCTTGGCTTCAGATCTGTTCTATGCATTCACACCTGGCAGGGTGTGTTCACAAGCTAGAGTGGCCTGCACCATCAATGGGACCTGCAAAGGACCAATGGGACATTCCAGTAGCCCCAGGGCTTGTGCCGGTCCATCTTTGGGCTAGGATGGAGCCAAGGCTTCACACTCCCTCATCTCCCTAGATCCTGGGGGAGGCAACTGCTGGGAGCAGGGGCTGTCAACTGAAGCCCCCCTGAGCCCCCATCCCATCCTGGGTGGCTTCAGCATTTCCCCCCACCTCATTTGAGTATCTGTGTGGAAAAGCTCTGTGTGTGTGTGAGAGGAGGGGATGCCCACGGGACACTGTGGCTCAGAGGTGGAGGGACCAGGGCTGGATTTTTGGGGTTTTTTTGTGTGTGTGGGGTGGTTTGTTTTTTGGGGGGCAAGGTCTCATTGTGTAGCCCTGGCTGGCCTAGAACTTGCTATGTAGCCTAGTCTGGCCTCTAGCTCACAGAGATCAACTTGCCTCTGCCTTCTGAGTGCTGGGATTAAAGGCATTTGCCCCCAGCTTCAGCTAGCACTGTTTTTTGAACCCTCCTCCTACCCTGGGCTCCTATATCCAATCTGTCTCCGCTGATTCCTGTCATTCATAAATTAACTCACTTTTTAGCTTGGATGTTTCCTCCAAGGAGCCCTCCAGAGTTGTTCCCTGCATTAACAGTTCTGTTCTTCCTTAAAGTCCCCTTGTCTCCAATCTCAGAGCCCAGTTAGCCCCTCCCTGTCACCAGATAGCCCTAAATGGTTTCCCCCACTCTACAGCCACTTGTAACAAGAGAGTCTGAGGCCTGATCTGAGCCCTGGGTTCCCCCAGGATGCCTGTTTGGTAGATGCACACCTCTGGGGTGCATTAGACCCCCAAGTTCTGATGCCTCCCACTGATGGGGGGATGTGGGACACCTGTGTCTTGGGGACTCACGTGGAGACACAGAACCCTTATCATAGTCAATCTGGGAAACATGCAAATGGGTTTTATTTTTTCCTTCCTTTTTTTTCTTTTGTCCAACTGGAACCTAAGCTCTGCCCTGCCCAACTTGTTGAATGGGACCCAGCAGCCTCCTGGGCCAGGCCCCAGCGCCCAGGAGACACCATGCCGGGCCTCTGGGATGGGATGGACGGATGCCTCCCACCATCCTGCCTGCTGGGGGGACACAGGCCTGCAGAGTGTCTGTGTGCACGTGCGGGGCGGGGGGGGGGTGTCAGTCAGGCACCTCAAGTCCCACTCCACCACCGTGGGACCCCAAGGATAAGCAGAGTCCCCAAATCAGAGCCCCCGACCACCCACCCCATGCATCACCCAGCTGGAGGGGATCACCGCACCGAGCCCCCGGCTCAATCCATCCCAGGCATGCCCCTGCCGCAGTGCGCCTCCCCATCCCACATCTCCCCCAGAGACCGGGGTTTCCTGAGATGCTGCCCCCTGTGGATCCCGACAGCTTTGCGCCCCCCGGTAATGAAGGGGGACCCTGAAGTTTCCTGGGGAGGCTGCAGAGGGGCTGGAGAGGGGCGCGCGTGGCGGACCCGGGGGTCCCGGAGAAGCAATGCTGTTACTCACCTGGGCGGCTCCGCCTTGGACCTAGCGCGGACTGCGGCGTGGAGCGAACAGGAGCCACCGCCACTGCCACCGCCACTGCCACCGCCACCGCCACCGCCGCCTCCTGGGCTCCGCCGTGCGCGGCCCCGTGCGCATCCCCGTCCACGCATCCCCTCCGCCCCCGCCCGGTGCGCATGGCGGGGATGCAGGACAAATACTCCTAGGTTGCACCCGTGAGCCTGGAGCCCCAGCACCTTCCATCCCCCTCCCAAGGAATCTTCAGTCACAGCGTGTTAGGAACTGCGTGGGGGCCTCCAGATGCAGCAGGTTGTTCCATTGGAACCTTCTGGAAACTACCAACTCCTCGGTCCCCTCCCTTCCAGGCCAGGCCTCTGCGGTCCGCATTGCACTGCGCACCTGCCCAGCTGAGCCCCACGGAGTCTGGGTTCCACGTGGTGCTGCTTAATCCGTGAGCTTGGAACCGGCTGCGGGTCCCATTACTCCCGGATATACCCAGTAGGCCCCAGCCTGCCCTCCTCCTCCTGGTATCATTCACCCCTTCTCATGCTCCCCCAGCGCCCACCTCAGTAAAGACATTCCCTTTGTTCACTTCCGAGCTCACAGCCTAGTGTGTTGGGAGAATGATGACTATTTTACATATAGGGAACATGGATGGAACCCCAAAATAAGAGTGGGGACTCTGAGGGCTGGAGAACCGGCTCTGCCGTAAGAGCACTGGATGCTCTTGAAGAGGACCAGGTTCAGTTCCCAGCACCCACATAGTAGCTACCAACCCGTTGTAACTACAGTTCCAGGGGATCCAGCTCCCTCTTCTGGCCTCTGCAGGCATTGCACACAGGTGGTGTACATATACACACAGACATACAATGGAATATAAATCTTAAGTCTGACATCCCTTTAACCCCAGCACAATAGGCAGTGGCAGGAGGATCTCTGTGAAGTTGAGGCCAGCCTGGTCTGAGTTCCAGGCCAGTCTGAGCCACATAGTGAGACCCTATCTCAACAACAACAACAACAACAACAAATTAAAAAAAGAGGGAGTTCTTTGATCTTACCAGATGGGAGGCTGACCACAGACCAGCACTGAATGCCAGTTTGAGGGACCTCATTCCATTTTCAGGCTGAGAAACAGACCCTGTGTGAATTCACCAGGGCTGAAATGGGACCACCCTGGACTGCACCAGCCTAGCATCAGCACTACCCTACTTGGGGGCTTTGGGCTGTTGGGTCCAGCATGGAAGGTGAGAGGAGAAGGTGGGATCCCCCAGATGAGACTCAGTGATGGATAGAGACTCACTGAGCAAGGTAGCACCTAGCTTGGGCCTCACAGTCACAAAGTGGGTACACTGGAGGATTGCAGTTGCATTAGTTCCCAGTGAGTGGTGAGCCAAGGGCCTGGCTGCACTGTCTGCCCCGAATTTTGTCCTCCCTCTCTATGTCCTGCTGTTTCAGTGGTGGCTTGGCATTGGCTCTACCACCTGAGACTCAAGCAGGCTCCATTCCCAGACTGTCATGTTGGCCTGAATCCCAGAAACTGCATCCTGGGAGACCACAGGCCAGGTGCCCCCAAGGGACCATGCAGGGAGTAGATGGTTCCCTTACAGGTCAAGGAGAAGTCTAGAAAAAAGCCAAAGCCGAACACCCCCCTCAACCCTGCTCCTCAACTCCACACCCCAGCCAGCACTGTCTGTGTGCTCCTGTGCTGTGTGATCCCAAGCAGGCTGCTTCCCCTTTCTGAATCTGTGCTAATCTCCTTCTAGGGGGCTCCTGGCTCCCACCTCAGGACCTTTGCACAGGCTGTTCTTGCTGCAGAGCATCAGCAGTCTGCCCCACCCGCCCCTGCTTCCTCTTGAGTCATATCCCCACCCTGGTTGCCTTCTGTCCCTTGTTCCCAGCCTCCCTGGCAATTTCTTAACATATCCTGTGATTCGCTCATCCATCCTATTTATGTCTGTATTCTGTGTCTCGGCTTCCCCGCACACACTTGGTGTCTAATAAAGCCTCTTGAATGAATGACTCAGGAAATCGAGGTGGTTCTGGGAGCCTGGGGAAGGGGGTGAGGTCTGAGCAGGAAAGTGTGGGGTTCCCAGACATCCAGGCCTTCTGTGCCCTCTGTGTCACTTTCGGTCCCCATGGGAGTCAACTGAGAACAGATACAATGAGCTAGGCATACAGCTGACAGCAGTCCCCAAGAGCCTGTACTGGGAATGGGCGTGACGTCCCCAGGCGCTGCAGCTGTGTGACTCTGAGCCAGCCCTTGCTGTCTCTGAGCCCAGCACTGGAGGGGGGGTGGGGGAGGGACGACCCCCAGGAGAGCCCCTCAGCTCTTCCTCACAGCTGCCTTTGTGGGGAGGCTGCGTGGGCGAGTCAGGGAGAGTCCTATCCTTGCAGGCAGCTGGCGGGGGTGAGCACCTGGTTGTCAAGGTTACGACCACCTGGTGATGGGATGTTGCCATGGAGACAAACCACCTGGGTGGAAAGGGTTGCTGGATGAGTGATGGGGATTGGGGGCTGGCAACTGTTTGGCTGGGGGTGGGTAGGGGAGGACTGCTCAGCCCAGTGTTGTCTGAGGACAGTGTGGGAGGCCAGGGTGGAGATCTCCATGCTGAACCCTTCAGCGGGGACCTTCATACAAAGGAATTGTTAGGTTTTTGTTTGTTTCTTTGTTTTGAGACAGAATTTCCCTGTAACCCACAGTTGGGCTGGAACTCACTATGTAGACCAGGCTGGCCTCAATCTCACAGAGATCTGCCTGCCTCTGGGTGCTGGGACTAAAAGGCGTGTACAACCACATCTTGCTATTTTTAAAAATATTTTTTATTTCTTACTTTTATTTTATGTGTATGAGTGTATTGTCTGCATGTATGTGAGTGCACCTGTGTCCTGCAATGCCTCAGAGGTCAGAAGAGGACTTCGGATTCCCCTGGAACTGGAGTTATGGACAGTTCATAGCCGCCATGTGGGTTCTGGGAATCGAACTCAAGTCCTTTGCAAGAGCAGTCAGTGCTCTTAACCGCTGAGCCATCTCTCCAGCCCCACACATCTTGCCATTTTAATGTTCTGGGACCCGGGTTGCTGTGTAGCCTCTGGTCAGTGACTAAGCTCCCTGAGCCATTCTATCTCCCTCTGTAATATGTGAATCATATTACCAAGGGAGGTACTTTGCCATAAGAGAAGCTGGGAGCCACAGAGTGTTCTAGGTAGGGGGGCTTAGGGTCAGATTTGCATGGTTGTGTAGGAGGATTCTGTGGACACAAGCTTCAGGAAGTATTCCCTCAAAGTGGCCTCTACAACTGAGCAGAGTGGATCTTCTCAATCAGTCATTAAGAAGCAGTCTCTGAGGAGCTGGCAAGAGGGTTTGGTGGGCAAGGGAGTTTACAGCCAAGTCTGATGACTTGAGTTCAATCCTCAGGACCCACATGGTGGAAGGAGAAAATTGACTCTGGCAGGTTGTCC